AAAAAAAAAAAAAAGTACCAAAGTATCTACTATGTGCCAGAAATAAGGGAAGCAAAAAACACAGGCTCTGTCCCTGTGGCCTTTACAATTCATGAAAGATGGACATTTACTTGCTATGATGTGATTAGTGTGTAATTACAGACTCTGACTGAAAGCTGTGTGATGCTGTGAGTGGGCTATAACTAAGAAAGAAATGGGCTTGGCATGGTGACTCACGCCTGTAACCCCAGCACTTTGGGAAGCCAAAGTGGGTAGACTGCATAAGGCCAGGAGTTCGAAACCAGCCTGGTCAACATGGTGAAACCACGTCACTACTAAAAATACAAAAATTAGCTGGGGATGATAGTGAGTGCCTCTAGTCCCAGCTACTCAGGGGACTGAGGCAGGAAGATCACTTGAGCCTGGGAGATTGAGGCTGCAGTGAGCGGAGATTATACCACTGTACTCCAGCCTGGGTGACAGAGTGAGTGAGACTCTGTCTTAGAAAAAAAAAAAAAAAGAAAGAAAGAAAGAAATGGTGGGCTATAACTAAGGGATGGGACCTGATCCTGATCTTGGGGCCAGGAAAGCCTTAGGCATGAATGGGATTTGGGAGTTAGGCAAAGGGGATGCAAGGAAGAGGGTTCCAGGTAGGGGATGTTAAAAGAGCAGAGGCCTGATAGCAAGAGGAAGTGTGGTATGTCTGAGAAATGGAAAGAAGTCCGGATAGCTGGAGAGCTGGGAGTGAGGGGAATGGGAGGGCAGGATGAAGCTGGAGAGAGAGGCAGAGCCTTTTGGACCCTGATTAAGCTTCTGATCATTGCATGGAAAGTAGTGAGAAGCTACTTTAGAGTTTTTAAGTGAAGAGGAGTGAGTGGGGTTACATATTCAGATTTATATTTCGAAAAGATTGATCTGGCTACAGTGTGGAGAACAGATTGGAGGGGTCAAGAATGAATCCAGCGAAACCGCATTAGACTAATGCAGTGGTCCAGGTAAAGAAAACTGGGCCTTGGAGTAGGCTAGTGAAGTGGAGAGAGGAAGGAGCAGGTGAACTTGAGACATTTAGAGGTAAAACTGACAGAATGTGGCATTTTGGTGGTTCTCAGAGTGTTCTGGGGATCCTGGGGAGTCCCTTGGATCCTTTAACCCTGTTAATTCAAAATTATTTTCATAATCGTGCTAAGACGATTCTATCGTGCTAATGACACTCATTCTCTCACAAGTGTACAGTGGAGTTTTCCAGAGGTCATGTGCCTTAGGTGATGTCATCACTCTAATGGCTTAATGGCATGTGTGCTTGTATATGATTATATTCTTAAAATTTCTATTTTTCTCTACTGGTTTCTCCTAAGAAAATGTTTTAAAAATTTCTGAGTTTTAATTTCTAATACAGTAAATATCAGTTCATATATCCCACATAAATAAAAGCTAAGTGCCCTTAGTTTTAAGGTACAAAGGGGTTCTAAGACCAAAAGGCTTAAGAACCACTATAGCATTGGATTGAATTTGCAGGTGTTCTCAGGAGGCTAAGGTGGGAGGATAGCTTGATTCCAGGAGTTTGAGATCAGCCTAGTCAACATAGTGAGACCCAGTCTCATTAAAAAAAAAAAAAAAAAAATGAGGTCGGGTGTAGTGGCTCACACCTGTAATTCCAGCACTTAGGGAGGCTGAGGCAGGTGGATCACCTGAGGTTAGGAGTTTAAAACCAGCCTGTCCAACATGGTGAAACCCTGTCTCAATGAAAAATACAAAAATTAGCTGGGCGTGGTGGCGTGTGCCTGTAATCCCAGCTACTCGGGAGGCTGAGGCAGGAGAATCGCTTGAACCTGGGAGGCGGAGATTGCAGTGAGCTGAGATGGTGACTATTGCACTCTAGCCTGGGCAACAAGAGCAAAACTCCATCTAAAAAAGAAAAAAAAAGCTGGGCGCAGTGCCTCATGCCTCTAATCCCAGCAGT